ATCGTATTGTTTTCTAATCACTAAAACAGCAGTGTCTTGGAGGCTGCGCCGTGTGGGCAGAGGACACAGCATAAGTGCAAAATAGCATTTCATCTTTTGAAAAGTAAGGCGTTATCTAATGAAATGTAATGAAAATGAGAAACACTATTCCCCTTGCAGAGTCTCTGCCAGAAGAATGTCAGAACAACTGAGCTCTTGCCCCCACTGTCGCTCCTACTTCCTTGGTTCATAATGAATTTAACAGGCTTCCATAACGAGGCTATTATAGACTCAAGCCTCCCAGCCGAACAGAAAATTAGATAAGAGGGCACCTGGACACTTCAGCAGCCATCAAAATAGATGCCAATCAAATTAGCCAAGGTCTGTGTTCCTCCCTTGTTTTCCTCCTGAAAGACAAGACGACACAATCATCCCCAGAAGGTTTCTACACCCTCTGATTTACTGTTTTCATTTCCTTCACACAATATGCCATTATCCAAACTGACCCAATAAAGTATTCAAATCTATATTTAGAAAAAACCAACATATAATGCTGCAGAGGGTGCAACCTCAAAAAACACATATGATGGAAATGCTTTGAGGTTTTCAGTGAAGAAAACGGTCCCAGGAGAGTTAAGCAGTTCGCCTTTCAATGTACCTTAAAATAAATGAACACTTAATAGACTTAAAAGATTTAAAGTCTACAGACAAGCTGCTCAGAAAAGAAGATTAAAACATGGAGTGTGAGTTAGCACAGCATACAAGATTAATAAAGACACACAGCACTAAAGCTACATGCTAATCCTGGCAAGGCAGCATGCCAACAATGACCGATACACACCTGAAAGGGTCATGTCTCAGTTTCATTGTTTACATTTGTTCTGGTTCATTTTGGTAGTTCAGGGAGTGGACCAGAAACTTTCGTATGACATTTGTACGCCCTGTTGTTTGGACTGTGTCTACCTGAACTTCCACTGGGTTAATAAAAAGTTGTATGTCTAACGTTGGGGTGTTGTCACTTAAGCGGTTCGTTGTCTCTCCAGTATAATGGAGGAAATTAATGAACCGGTTGATTACTTTTATTTTGTTGCTGCTGTGAAATCCTTATGGTAATACTACCAGGATCACCAACATCAGATGCAGTACTCCACACTAGTATGACTGTGCCATGAAACAATTTCATCCTGGTTCAAACGATGTCCTCTTATTCTTCTTCTGTTGATGTTTCAGCTTCCCAAACTCTGAACAATCGACAAAAGTGTTTTCACACTACAAACGAACTGAACACTGCATAGTTTGGTTCAGAACCAAGACCACCTCTCTTGGTCAACACCATGGTACAAAGTAGGTGTGAAAGCATCCAATGACAAAACTATGCTGTTTGACTTGGTGTGGTAGAATTTTTGATCATATTAGCATGTGAACATTCATGAGTTTGCACTATATACAAAGTTCAGTGAATGTGAATTTCTAATATGTCTTTTGTCTTAATGTCAGAAATTTGACGATGCCATGAGGGAAAAGCCAAAGATCACCAAAGTCATTAAATCATCAATATTATGCCACTAGAATATTTTCACTGGATGGTTGGTGATAAATCAATGCCACTCATATTTTCTAATATACATATATTCCTTGTGAATCTGAATAAATTATTCTTTGTTATGAGAGGAAAATTAGGATTTGACTTTAAAACCTAAAGCTTTTGATGCCATCATCAGAAAGTGACAGGAAAAGATAAAGAGTTCAAACAGTAAAGAATTCAACAACATACTCAACACAGTTGGTTTTGTATTTTCTTATGGAAAATAATGGAAGACAGAGAGAAGCAGAAACAGGGCACATATCTTAGTAATAGAAATGCACCTCTTGACAGTTCTTGTATATTATTTAATACTGCCGTGATACAGTCTGTAATTATGGAAAGAAATGGTCCACATGGTGGCAATGGTGCTTTGAAATATCATTTCCAAGCCTCCTACTCACTGAACAGCACCTTACAGAGAATTGTTTCCTCAAGATTTAAGTCTGGACATGGCATTAAATGGGCTTTATCTAAATGTCACTGCTCTAGTGACTGTCGATTATGTTGCCTGTATTGATCTCAAAACTTACCTATTCATCATGGTTCTTCGCCATTTGTCCTCAGCAACCCTGTAGCCTCTCTACAGCCACCACCCACAGCTTTAGTCAGACTCTCTGCAGCCTCTTTCTTTTTTTTTTTTTGTGTTCAGAACGACTTGATTTCCTTCTTTAATGCTTTATAACCCTGCCACTGTCTCCAGGCAACTCAAAGGCTGTTGAGCTCGTTAAGTCTCTATCCCCTGAAGAGGCTGTGAGTTCCTTTAAGATTTTATGCAGTTCCAGAACCTCTGCATGTTTCTGCTGAAGATCAGATCATATTCACACACCAAGCACTTTGAGAATAATTAGGGCTGTAATAGTGTTAGACGGTCCGAGCCCTCATTAAATTGCTGTTAATGTGGATATTTGAAGCAGTTGGTCTTGACATTAATGCGATGTCAAAGAGATGAGCAGCAAGAGGGGCATTCATATGTGTCACTGTTGAAAGCTCCAACCCTATATCCCCTTGTATGTTTCATATTACCGACACAATATGTTTTGGAAAGGACATATAAAGCCATTTGACATGTTCCTCACAACACTACAGCATCATGTAGAAACCTCATATTGGACAAATCTACTCATTTCATATAAAACATTACTTCCGATAACTCCGTTAACAACGGCTGTGGCTCAGGAGTTAGAGCGGTCGTCCTCTAACCAGAAGGTTTGGGCTTCGATCCCCATTCCACATGCTGAGGTGTCTTTGGGCAAGATACTGAGCCTGAAGGACTCTATGAATGTGTGTGTGAATGGGTGGATGGCAAAACTGCATTGTAAAGCACTTTGAGTCATCAAGGCTAAAAACGCACTATATAAATACAGACCATTTAAACTTTAAAGTTTGCGGTGACCAACTAAAGCACAGGCTGGTTTTGATTCAGAGACATTAGTGTGACAAAAGATCAAGTTAACAGATTAATATCTCAAAATCCTATATTTGCACAGAGAGACGCTATCTGTCATGTAACAAATTCATAATTCTGTATATTGGCATGTTAATTTTAGATGTGAAAGCCTTGAACAGGTCCATTGTGTTGGGTAATCTTCAAGTTTATGGTTAAAATTAGAAACTTGTTCACTAAAAAAAACTCACGCAAAAGGCTATCAACAATTCAATCATCTATTTTAAAGGTTTGATGTCGTCTTTTGTTTTGATTGTTTTATACCATTTACTGTAAACATCGGATAAACGATGAACAGCATTTGGCGATGTTTCCTGGCTTTTCTTTGTATGAAATGTACTCCATATATCCCAAAGTAGTGTTAATCCATCAAGGACATGAAAGCTATGTTGCTAAAAGAACTGTTAGAATGCCCTTCAGTTGTAGAGCCAAGTTCGAAGCACCACTGACAGGAACCCTCCACCAGACAAAGTGTCCTTGAGCAGGACCTGAATGTCTCCACCCAAGAGACTGTTGTTTACACTGCTTCTTGACCTCCCACTGGACAGGGGCAAGCCATAATTGAATTCTTAGGGGATCAATGCCGTGTAGAAAAAATAAAAAAGTCAAGCACCGTGACCGCATGACTGTGGGAAATTGATAACAGAAGTGAGTGAACTGCAGCTAAAGGCTCCCTTTTGCAGATACTGATAAATCACAAGACTGAGTAGAGAATATTCTTTTTCTCAAAGGCAGAATATACAAACACAGGCACTGTTGAGCATTTCAAAACTGACCAAAAAGAGAAGAATGCATCACGTGAGAACATTTTTAAAGCTGATTCTAACCACACACATTCATACTTGCAACTAAAAACAGTTTTTATTGCTATCATGACATTTGAGGAAGAGACGTTTGGAAAGTTTCACTTGGTATTTGTAGCTTTAGCTGATAAAATGCCATATATTAATACTTGGAGAAAAAATTAATAGATTCACCAATTCTTTGACAGTTTAGAGTCCGGAAAGAGCACAACTAAAAGCAAAGTTTTTGGCAAAAGAAAGTTCATCCTCCAGATAAGCCAGAATAGTCTTGCATCAGATAACGTTGTGGGTGAAGTAGAAAACCTTATCCCAGAATCGTTTTAAAACTGCTCTCGCATAAGTATGAGAGGATATCATGGGAATATGTAAAAAATCATAATGTGATATGATATCTATTTTCAAGAACTGAGGAGTTTGGCAGTTCTTACGGGTTGTTTGTTATGAGTTACCCAAAATAATAGCGCTATGAGCCCGATGGTATTTGAAAATATGTCACGCATGTTTCACAAAAGTTTAATGTGTTCACAAATCACTAGTTTAATAAGCAAGGAACCAGGGATCCTTGGAAATGCATTTTTTTTTGTTTTTAAGGTTGTTGGTTTCTCTTCAAAAGAAAATGGTCTGTTTTTGTTTAATAAAGAAAGATACTGCCAATAAGATACAGAGGGAATAATATCCAGCATTCAAAACTATCAGCTCTGTCTGCCAGTCTTCCATGTGAGTAGAAACAAGAAAAGAAAAAAAATGAATCAAATATTTCAGTTCTGTGGTCACTGACAAATAAAATGTGACGCTATAAGCAGGATTAGGTCAACACTGTGGCGCTGCCAGCGGAGTGGCACATTAATTAGTGCTGTTGAGCAACACAGAATGAATCCATGGAAATCTGTTTTCTGAAAAGCAGCCACTGATCACAACCTCACTCAAGTTACGTCAGATTCCATAAATATACATTATTAATCTCGCCATGCATCTCAAGGCAAGAAATCTCAACAACTTCAGGAGCACGTTTATGAAATCTACATATCCACGTCTAGACGATAAAATGTTTATTGCAACGGTTATCTGCATCAAAAGTGAAATATCTGCTCCTATCACATGTTTTCAGTGCATATGTATTTTGGTTTCCCTGCAGACAAAACATGTCCGACCCATTTTCCAGTGCTCATCTGGGACACATTATGGAATGATTCAACATGTTTTCATGCATGTTTGACACATCCATTTTCATACATATTATCACTCTACACTCACCTCAACAGCTGTGTGATCTTCTCATTTTCTTTCTTTGTACATAGCGACATGAAATTTAAGCAATCTCCGCCATAACCCTCCCTTTAATCTCACGAAACAACGACAACAAAGGCCCCCTTGAAAGTACTGTGTATTTTTGCAAGCAGTATCTTTGTAGTTTTTCTCATGCTCGCCAGTTCGGTTTGTGTATCGCTCCTGCAACATTACACAGAGCATCAAATACTTCTTTGTGAGTCTATGGCCCAGATTTCTTTACACAACTGAAAGAACTCACAGCAACGCAAATGTATCTGACAGCTCTGGAAAAAAATAAAAAAATAAATCATAGATCAACCCAGAGATTGGCGTTGCTATAGAGAAAATATATATGATATAAGTCAACTTGTTTTCCAGGCGAGTCAGTCTGCATCCATTTCCCTAGAGGCTGTTGCATATTGTTCTCCATTTTACTATCAGAATACAAGCCATTAGACAAGGGCAATAGAGTGGAGTTGTCATATTCAAGAAGATCTATTGTGTTGATGGAGCCAGAGAATGCCCCGTGCTATTCCCACAAGGTGTTAAGAAGTTGTTAATCTGCGTCCTGTTTTGCCCCTACAGCTTGACAGTATTGGCAAGATATTATTTTAACAGTCTGGGTGTTTACAGAAGAGCTGAAGCACACAGATTTTCAATGCCTTTCTCTCTCATCAATAAATAGTGAGAGCCGAGATTTTGAGCTAAAATCCCGCACTCAATTCAGTTGTTATGCGACCATATCTGAATTAACAGATATGCAAGTGATGCAGAATACTCCTGGGGACGCCAGGAGATTGCACATGCCTTGTTATCATTACAGAGATAACATGCAATCAGCGAGGCTACATTATCAGGGGACGGCTGGCACGCATCTTTTGTGACAACCTCGCCAGCGCAATTCTGTTCGATTACTTATTCATACTCTAATTGTACGCATTCAAAACTCATCGTGAAATGCATCTGTTATGATCAAAATTGAGGATCCTGATGAGTTTAAACCGTGTGCAACATTTGATTGAAGCTTTGATTATTAAGCATAATTGGATCATCAAGTGCCCATGTCGAGAAGAAAAATGATTGCCTGGCGATCGTTCCCACAGATTGGAAATGTTTTAAACACTTTGCTGTTTTATCTCCACCACTGGAGTTAGGAAACCCTCTTCGGGCGACCTGATGTGATTTAACAGCAAGCTTCTACAGTGCCAAACATATTTCTTTATAAAAAGCTGTCTGTCCCACACCTCTCCCAGGGCTGTGCAGTCTGTCACCCAAACGGAGCGTGTCCATCTGTCCCTTCCCATTTACACTCTGTTGTTCTCACCGCAGCTGAGCCCATCATGTAATGCAGGGATGGTTGACAGCTGTTTGTTGATTCGATGCCATGGCTTATTTCCTCTTTCTGTTTGTTTTGACGTCAGCATTCGCCGGGATCAGTGAATGAGTCAGCAGGCCTCTGTTTCAAGTCCCACGACTGACATCAGGAAGCAGTCACTACAAGTAGTTGGTCTTTTTGTGCCTCGTCTAAACAATTTGACGTGAACATTGCAGTGTAACTGAACCAGCTTGCACAAGACTGCCGGTGTGAGGTCATCATCCGGTTCATCATAATCCTTCCTAACGTGGCGAAATCGTGCCAAGAGGATTAATCTGCTAAATTTACGTAGCATCAAAAAAGCCCATGCAGAGATATGTGGATGTGGGCAGACTTTTCTAGTACATCTATTTTCAAATGGAGAAGTTCAGATAAAAAATGTTCCCTCCCAATACGGATTCCAATACTTATGTAATGGCTGATGCTGATGCGATACCAGTGTGCCAAACAACAAAACAATAACCTGTCATTGTTTTGCTTGGGGGACTTTCCAAACTGATGCCATTTTAGCTAGCTTAAAAATTTCACCTGCTCTTAGAACTAGATGCAATGTCAGAGGATGACCAAAGTTTCTGTCATACGTCCTCTGTGGACCTTAAATACCTGCTGAAAATGTCATGACAATCCATCCCATAATTGTTGAGACATGTCAGTCCAGATCAAACTGGACTGACAAATCAGCCTTGTTATTCATAGTCATGAGTAAGAAATGTAAAACATGGGTTGCTTTCAGTTTTTTATATTTAGCATAGTTTTTGAACTTTTAATTATTTTATGTTTAACTTTTAATTTTGTGAGTCAAGTGTAACATCAAAGACCAAAGGAGCTCCAAGATATTATCATGCGACTTGAGCTGTTATGACAGGCGTTCTCAGAATATACAGCACACTTGCTTTATTAAGTACACGTTCACATTTACAAAAACAGGCGGCTCCTCCAGACAGTGACTCATACTGTACATAAATAATGCATGAGTGGAAAGCATGCAAACAGAGTTGGGGGTTCAGTGTCTGTTTGACTAAATGGTTAAATGGGCAAGATGTGATCTAAGCAACTCTGAATGTTGTATGATGTTTGATCCCAGATGTGCTAATTCCAACAAACACTTTCACTGCTCTGGGAAGTTCAGTCAACACAGAGGCTTCAGTTTATTCAGAATGTCACTTGGAGCAAACAAAAAAAAAAAATATATATATATATATATATGGAAACCTTCCAGTCAGAGACAGGTTTGTGCACAAAAACTCCTTGTAACCATTCGAGGTCACGGTAGAAAGACAAGCATTGCTCCAGCTGACAGATGGCCCACAAATAAAAACCTTGTACAGCTCAGTTTCGCTGATGTGCAGAAGGGCGTCTTAAATCAGTCATCTAGTCAAAATGGAGGGGCCACAGCAGCAACACACTAGGCCGCGTGTCAGCTCAAAACCAACGAGAAGAAGCTGCAGTGAGGATGTCATCACGACAGTGCTGTGGGAAGCTTTGGCTATTGCAAAGTGACAGAGGTTCGTGATGCATCATGGTCGCAGCAGGGAGACAGTTTAGCTTAAGGTACATGGATCAATAGGTCAATCCTGTATGGAGGCTATACAGTCTGCAGGTTTAGATGAATTCTGATCAAACTAAGGACCTGTCCAGTTTGAAGACGATCAGACTAGACCCATCGAGCACAAATGTTCATTTTCCACAGGCTAACAGTTGCAGTCTGTGTTTGAAGGCTGTCATTGAGTTAGGCTTGTACTAACATTTGTTTTTTGGTTAAAAAAAAGATCAAAAAGCTTTTGCTGTTTTGGATTTCATCAACACAAAGAGCTGTGCGTGGGGACTTTATGAAAATTAAGTGATATTGCCCAATGAAAAACACTCTGTATTCACTCACCTTCTATTTATTCATATAACAATTGACTGCATTTTATCACATGGATGGAAAATCGACAATTTCAGTTTTAAAAAGCATAATTCATAAAGAGTGCTGTGTATATTTTGATATGAAGCCACTATTCACAGCTCACTGAAGGCTATTCTATGAATATAATAATGACAGGTATGACGGGTACTGGCTTATTGTTACAGGAAATTTAGAATAGTGCATAACTGGCATTTCCTCATTATCATCATCAATCTCTGTCATGAATATGTCCTTTGTTGACTAACAGATTTCCTGAATAGGCCCAAATAAATTATTCTCCATGTTGAAAAAAAAGAAACTGACCCTTTGGAACATACCCCAGCATTTTGACAAAGGCTTGTGAAAATTAAAGTGAACATGACTTGTCTTCTCCAATAAGCACAGCTCGTGTGTCTTGCACCTTCACGCCCCTGTGCTTTATGTGAGACGAAAAGTAGAGCCACTCCCTGACACGCTGCATATCAGATTCATTGTGACTGACGTCCACTGCATTTAGAGGATCATTCAATCTATCATGTGGTGGAGAGACCCTCGTTTATTTATTTATTTGCAGTGACAGTGAACATTAATAAACATTCCTGTAAATGCAGCAGAGTTCACAAAAGGCTAATTTTCATCTGTAGTCCCTTGCTAGATGTTATAAATTCTCATTTAAGGAGAACAAAGTACAGAAAACTACAGATAAGAACAATGAAAACAAGACAAGAGAAAGTGGGTAGGTAGTAAAATTAATACAAGCATGCCGAGCATCAACATGATGACTAATAATATCAACACAAAGGAGGTATCAAAGGTGAGAAATAGAAAGATCTACAGCATTTATTAGGATTTGAGTAAATGTCTGGACTGTTTCAGAACACGGGAGTGAAAAGTGAGTTTAAAGCACATGAAGAAGAATGAGTCAAATACTGGGAACTTACAAAAAGTTTGTGGTTCCGTCGGGCTTCAGATTCCAACCATTTTGTCCTGAGGCTGCAAATTCAGCAGTGATGCAAGATTGACAGAAACAGGCTGGAGTCCCAGCCAGAGCATGCGGCGGTGGTGGCTGGCTGAACGTGGCAGATGGGGCTTGTGGGTGATTCTGGTTGCAGGCAAAAGTGAGGGTTCAATTCGGGTGCACAGACAGAGTACATTCAACACTGACAGGTACAGGATGCAACAAAGAATGGACAGAAGAGCAGGAGAATAATAACAGCAACACAAAATATCTATATTCCTCACAGCATTTATAAGTGTTGCTTTAAAGATTGACAACAGTGCAGCTCTCAAAAGTGAAGCCAATAACCTCCCATTGTTGACTGGCTGCAGTCTCGGTAATAAACTCCACCCCCTCCTTGTTAGTAGATGGGACATGGACCGAAATAAAAAGTCCTCAGATATTGTTAGTCATTTTAGTTGTAACAATACTGATGCATGTTCAACAGTAAATTTTTCCTCTAAGTTTGTTTTTAATTAGTTATTTCATGATATAAAAACAGAGTGAAACATGATTGACAGCTGACACTGACACACAATTGTTTTTGATTTTGCAAACCTAAAAAACAAGATGGCAGCACCCGTATCCGGAATATTTTGGTTTCAATTTTTCGTACTGTGGGAGGAAGCCGAGACAACTTGGCCATCTTTATATACAGTCTGCTTTAGACACGCATTTGTCCATGTGGAGGAATAATTGAGTCGTGTGCAACTGTAGCAGAGCAACAAACCCTCAGGCTGCACATGACTCCAGCTGCAGAGTTATTTGATGTGATGATCACTTGATGATCACTTGTATTGTTTTCTGTATCACGAGGAATACAAGTAAGCTCTGTGATTCTACTACTAGATTTATAAAGCTTCATCTCTGCAGAAGAAATGTGTTTGTGCTGGTTAAGTCACTGACAGCAGAGCCATTAACTAATTCAACATGCTGAAATGTTGAACCAATTATTTTTATGTAATCTATTTATCTGAGAGACTGGAATAAGAAGTACTCACCTGTGGTAAAAAGTGAACTAGGTAATTGTTTTCTTTTCAAATGCAGTTCTGTAGTGTCAGCCTTTCGAAAGATTGTATTTCTCTTACTGTTGTATATTTTTACATTTTTGTTTGTAATAATTTATCTCTGCAATGTTACATTTCATTTGCAAAAGACTAGCTGGACTTAAAAATGCCTCTACCCATCATCTCATTCATCCAGTCCTTTTTAGAATATCCTTTTATCATACAGGAACCCACCCCCACCCCAGCTCCACTCTGTACAAGCAGCTTCAAGCCACTGTGGCCTTCAATGCCTCCCCCTGCAGAGAGCGTTGCCAAAACCTCCTCCAGGCTTGGACCATGCTCATTTTGATAAGACTGCATCAAAATGTCTTCCGCGCACACACACACACACACACACGCGCGCACAGATTCTTTTTCCCCCCATGTGTCTATGCATTGCAAACTTTCCTTTTTGCTGATTTACTCCATTTTTCTTTTAATATGACAATACATGTAGTTTGCTGACCTTGTTTCATGATTCATTTCTTTTCAAATACTTCAAATAAGAGAAGCTGTAAAGTGGGCTGAATTTCAGGGTAAACTATTCAGGCTGACATAGTTGTATTTTATTGAATTGGAAAGTAAATGTAGCTTCATTACTGAGGGACAAGATGGCAGCCATTGCAACAGAGCAATTTCTTATTTTTTTCACATTGACCCTTGCTCACACCTGATTTGCAGATACACATCCTTGGGCAAGATTTCCTGTTGATAGCTGTACCATCAGTATGTGAACAATTTATAGATTAGCATTGTGTGAATGAGGGAATGTGACTCATGGTTTATATCTTTTTTTGTTAAATGCACAACTTTGGTTGATAGGGGTCTCCCAGTCAAAATCCGTATCCACAACCACTTAATACAATTAAATGGCAAAATTCACTGACTCACAACACAATATAGATTAAATTGAGGTTTATGGTTTTAAACAATCTTCTTCATTGCTTCTCGTTTGACACAACATTATATCATGAATGAGGCGAGCACAGTTAGTTTACACTGTTTTGTCCTTAACGTTGTATTGAGTTAGTTTTCTTACCATGTGTGTGAGTGGTCAATCCTTCTTCCTGGTTTGGCCAAAGACTAGGCTGTGGGTGGAGCCTGTTTAAATACAAAGGCCCAGTAAATTGGATGAGACCAAGTGTTCCATCAGCATGGGGGGGGGGACGGGGTTTCTTTGTATGAATGTTTAACTTTTTTTCTATTTTATTCCCCCCCCATCGTTTCCAAATGGTCTGATCAGCCATATTATATCTCCCTTTCTCCTCATCTGTTAGGTCAGTTTGATTTACTGGTTTCTTATTTAGCAGTAGTTTTGAAAATAGATCTGTTTGGTTGACTTATTTTAATTGGACCAGTTATCTGCTTCATTTGATTATTTCTAATTCCTTTGTATTTTGAAATTTTTGGAAATAAATCTTTGGAAACTTGTGCTTGTTTGACTCAACTGAAACCGTACTTGAAAATTGGGGATTTCACTGGGTTAGATTATAGCAACAAAATGTATAATTCAGGTCTAGTTGTTTGTGGAAACTTTTAATGAATTGTTACATGTAACATCTTCAAGACAAAATCCTGTATGAGTTTTGTATATTTGAACACTCCTTACATTACGTGTAAACATATCTGTCCACCTAAAAAAGCCTATAACTGAAAATGGGGAGTAAAAACATTTTTTTTTTCTCAAACGTCCTCCTCCCAGTCTTCCAAGTCATCCTCTCTATGAAGAGATAGGTCAGTTACAACAGATGAAGGCCTCTCAAGTGCAGCCAAGAAGATTGCTTTGATTTCACTCCTCTGACAAATGGGGAGGGAGCGTTTGGATCCACCAATACTTCTGTGGACAATGTCTTGAACATAGGGAGCTCGAGCACTTTTCAACCCAAAGTGGGATGAAAGTCGGCTACGACGTGATGGATGGACGGAGAAACTGAACAAATGGAGGCAGACGTGTACTGCAAGGTAAGACGAGAAAAATTGATCCTTCAGGTTTTTTTTATGGAATCCTTCACTGAACTGTTTGAATTATGGCAAAATCTATCTGTTACATTATACAAATAATAATTCTTCTTTTTAATCATGCAGTTCATATGAAATATATAGTGCCTAAGTGCTGTCTTAATGAAGTCATTAATTTTCCGTATGTTTTAAAGCCATTTGATTTACTTTTTTTATTACCTTTTTCCATCTTGGCTCAGTGGATTGTTTCTTGTAATATTAATATGAATTTTATTTTCCTTTTTGTTACTCAGCTCATACAGGCTCCTCTGTCCTGCTATTGTATCAAAAAAAAACGTTTGTAAGTAACTCTATTGCCACAAGCATTTAATCTTAGCAGTATGAGTCCCTCAATAAGAACAGACCTTTTAATGTTCATTTATGTTTAAAACTGGATTGCTTCACTGCCCAAATGAGAGTCGACATAGAGTTGGTCGTGCAAGATTCATGCTAATGACATTCAAGTCAGTGCAGCGCGTGACAAAATGCATGTGGATATGATTGCTTCAATGTGAAACATGAGTGTGAGAGACGCAAGCCAATGACGCACTTCAGAGGGAGGTAGGTGTTAAAGTTTTATAAGAAAAAGAGATAATAGAGACAGTCAAAAAAACATTTTTAATCCATGAGGAATGTAGTTTGATTTCCTGTGGGTGGGTTGTCAGGATTATATCAGACTAAGGATGGTGAGCAAACATAATCAAAAGACATGTTGGGAGGAGAAAACCTACAGAAAGTAGGTAACCAGACATTCTGAAATCATTGTAGTACATAAACCAGTTGTATTATTGTATCTGCTGCCCTGTAACAGGACTATGACAGATGACAGTGACTGTCATGGTCTGGTGGGGGAGGAGGATGCAGGTTAGAACTCAGCTACTCTTTATTGCAGCGTCAGAACAGTCCATCCTGCAGTATGTCAGGTCTGAGGAGAGAGTGAATCCAGGAGAACAGGATATTAGGCCTCAGAATGGAATGAAATCGGGCCGCTGCCATTGTCTGGGTTGTACTTTTTATTGAACTGCAATTGTAGCAGTGCAGCAGCGGGATGAAACAACCCCATGGTTTATCATTCACTTCAGGGCTGCCCTCTCAAAAGTAATCTTTCTGGAAAAAAATGAGTTGAGGTAGAATCCACAGAGTAGCTCCACTTTCTTTTGTTGTGCAAAACTGAATCCAAACTATCCTGGTTGTGGGTGAGGCCACCTTGGTCCTCATTTGGGGTCAGAGTTTGCGTAGAGTCCGTTGTCGAGGTCCCATCAACACATTCGTTTCAGCTGTCAATCATGAAGTTTGACCCTTTAAAAAGATCAGATTTCAACTTAAAACCAGACTTACCTTAAAACATGTTCACTCTGACATACATCAGCGTTGGTCCATCCATTTACATGGAGGAGGCAGGGTTCATGGAGGAGGCAAGGTTTATAATGCAGTCGACCACCAGAGGGCAGTCAAGATGATTTGGCTTCACTTTTGGGGAGTTGTCATGTCGTCCATCTTTATGTAGAGTTATAAACAGCACAAAAACCTAATCCCACACAAAGTGCTCCTTTTAAATTTACATTTTCTACATTTTGAGTTGTTCAGAGCCAGTGCAATTCCATTCAAATGTCATTAGCTAGAGCAATATCTCCACCTCAACACAACAAGAAATATAACACACTGGGGTTGCATTATTTACTTTAGAGAGATCTACCTGCGATCGCCCAGGAACCGTACCTTCAACATTTAAAGCCCAGGCTCGAAAAAACAACCCCTGAATCGTGGACAACTCTGAATCCAGTACAATGCAGCCTGGTGATAAATGTCAACTTTAACTGAACTGTTTTTTCAAAAACATATCAATTATACAGCAATGCAAAAAGTATTAATAATTAAAGGAAATTTGCAGACTCTGGCAATAGCAAGAGTAAGGATTCACATGCACTACAAGAAAATCAGCAATGCTTATTCTGTTTAGCAGCTGGTGAACAAGGGGTTACGGCACCTTAAAATATTATATGCTTATAATGATATATGTAGGTTTAATACGTTTTGTTATTATAGGTGAAACCTTGATTTACATTCCAGCTCAGGGAAACCCTCCATTTTTATGTGATTAAAATACCATATATTGACAATTTGACAAAGTCACCGCAGACGTAAAGAAATTACTGAATTGTTGCACATAATACGCTGAGGACAATTTATAGCCACTGGCCATTGTTGTGCATGAGGAATAAAGAGTGCCATGATGCACATATTGATTTGGCTGTAAAGAACACACACAGAGGGAGTACTCCGAGAAAAGGTCAGGAAAAATGAGATTTAACTTTCTTATTATAATACTGACATTCCCCATTACTTTCAGAGTCGTGGAATGAATCCTTACTCACCGCTGCTCCCTACAGAGCAATGCCACACATGCAAGTTGTAAGTGCTATGAAGGGCACTCTATCCCACCCACTTGTAAATTGAGGTAGTTATTGCAATTAAGATACACTACAATGTATTTCGTGGGAAACTAAATGATGGACTTATACAAGATGAGAGAAGCACTTCTTTATATGTAAGTTTCGAGATTACATCATATGAAAGAAAAACATAATAATATTAATAAATAATAATTGTTATTGATGCTTGCTTATTGCTTTTTTGGAATATAAATATTAAATAGGCCCATCCCTTGATGAGGATAATTATCCTGCTTTCTCTTCAATCAGCCTTCCAGCTCAGCATGAGACCCATGAGTCTAAGTTGGATATATTTTTCAGAGCCTTTCAACAGCATTCATTTCCAGCCAGTGAGAGACTGACATAAGAGGAGCAGGATACTTAGCGAACCTAAATAAACAGCATCACTGTGCACAACCTAAGAGGAGGACACAGAACTAAATGTGCCTTGTGTTTTCAGGTTGTCCATCTGTCAGTCCCGTTCTGGTGAATATGATAACCCAAGTTAAAACATTCATACAAAAAAGGTCACAATAATATTACATTTTTTGGTGGATATTTAACATGACAGCTCAATGCAGCTGTGGCACGATGATGATGATTGTAAGAACATGAGATGGCTGAAGGTAAAATAATTCACACATAGGATAATTTGAACTTTAACTTAAACACAGTTAAGTAGATTTTATTAGAAAATAAAACAATTTCCCTTGAACATTCATTTACTCATCAAGGCAGGTCATGTGTCTATATAGAACACATCTCAGCATGCTCACACATGCCATCCTGATTTAATTATTTTTTTAAACGTCCTTTTTTATGTCTCTCTGCCGGCATGTGCTGTGGCTGGAGGCGTTGCGTTTTCAGGTTGTCCATCTGTCAGTCCCGTTCTGGTGAATATGATATCTCTGTAATGCTTTGAAGGAATTTCAGGCAAATGCCCACTCGGAGTCAAGGTGAACTGATTTGATTTTGGGGGCAAGTATCACAGGTCAAGGTCACAGTGTCGTCAAAAAATGTATTTTTTGGCTACATGTCTAGATTTACAAAAATGTAATTAACTGTGAAATAACATACTAAAAAAGAATTTGTGACCGTATTTAACAATTGGTCAGATACTGAATCTGTGTCACTTCTTTGCAGCATAATCCAGATTTGAATCATTGTCTACTATCATGGGAACAACTTTTGTGCTCTGTCAAAGTGTGTACCCATGTGTATTATGGCTTTATTGTACATCAGGCCAAGCATGTGAACACACACAATGAATTTGACCCTGTTTTTTACATGGTTATCAATAGAAAGGACTCACTGAGTAAAGCAATATCTTCAATTTATCTTAATATTTGATAAATCAATCAAATTTTATTTGCATAGCCCATATTCACAAATCACAATTTGTTTCATAGAGCTTAAATACATCTCTTATTAATTGTCTTCAAATTCCACACTGTAGTTTATATTACGCGTCTGGACAGACATGGATGCAAAGTGCAACTTGATTGGTCAGTGGAGGGAAACAACTGCAAGGCAGCAATGCTAGTTTGTTATTGTGTGGCGTGTGGTCATTTTCTTGTAACATTAAAAAAAATAATAAATGGAAAACCGGCTTATCAGATCACTGAGCACAATGACTCTCATTTGTT